TATAGTACCTTTAAATTTACCATAGATCACTGTAATTACTGTAACACAGTGAGATGACTGATTTATCTATGGAGGTTTGGATTTCTCCAAATTAAATATAGTTGATCTTCAAATCATGTAGCAAAAATCTTTGTTCCATTCATATTCTACAAGGTATTTGTCAAACAATTTCTCCAACTTCATGCACCATCAACATCACATACAGCATTTTTCTTTTTCTACTTTATCTTAAACAATGCAAAGAAAACACAGAGGTCACCTGCTACGTGTTATTCATGTGTTGTGTTATAAACTCAGTCAAAGAGACCTGTGAGTGTGATACTGATGTTTCTCCATCATTCCTGAACAGAAAGCAACCGTGCCATCTATTGATGTCGGCTTACTCCCCCATCTGTGTGGCTCTTCTGTCCTTCCTCCTCACTCCAGCTCTTGGTCGTAAGTCACATTACAGCACAGTGTGGAGTCACCTGACACAACACAAATCAGAGTCCCGTATCTTACATGGATTACACCATTGCTGTGACTCTGTCTTATAAACACAAAGAACGAAGGTTACTGTTAACACCCAAATGCTGACCTTTGATAAGTCAGACTCATCATTAGAGGTCACAAATCAAAAGCCATAAATAGTATATTATTGACATATTGTGCCGGTCTGTGTGGTGGCAGTACATGGGATTAAACGTGCACTCTGATAATCGCGGCAGACTCACTCCCCGCTCCTGTTTGGGGCAGACAAAAAGTCAAACTACCAGCTGCAGATTGTGCACCGCTTTGTGGAATTCGCCTCATTATCCAGGCGCACACATGCAGATGCACGTGGCATTTTAACCGTGGTTCATCTCCAGCTCGTTGCACTAATGACTGGCTTTCTGAGCGTAACGCTGCGGCAAGCAGTAACTTTTAACAACTTGAGGCCCACATGCACAGTCAGATAAGTATTTAGTGGTGGTAAATATGGGATTATAAATATCGTCTCACCACTTTATCTCATTTCTCAGCAGTTTTAATGGGGACGTGGGAACGACTTCCAGATGTGTTGCGTTCACTCCGCTCGCTGTCAGTGAGCTGAGTCAGCTCATTGACTGGGGAGCCCCTCTGGCTCTCACCATCTTCGTTTCCCAGAGTTATTCACGAGGATTTCCTCCTGAACAACTGCACTGCGAGGAGTCAGGATAGCGCCCTCCTCTGGCACATCACACAAATAGATTTTCTGTGACGATGAAAGTGTTTTTCACTAGAAACTCTATCAACTGTAAACCTGTTGTGATGTAAAGCCTGTCCATTATTTTATTATGAACATAAAATTATAGAATACATGTGTAACATGTGTAACATTAATGATGAAAGCAGAAACAGGATGGTGGTGGGATGTATAGCAGGTTGTAATTTTGATAAATCGCTTCCACATTACCCCGCTAAAATGTTCCTAATGACATGTGGCTTTTTCTGCCCGTTGTAGTTTCTGACCTTGGTGGAATATTCTGAACAGGGCGCTGAGAGATCTGTATTATAAATTACAATCACCGCTTTGATTAGTCTGAACTGCAACTGTCTTAATGCTCAATCATCCAGCTAAGTAAATCCCAAAAGGCTGATTCTGTTTATCTGGATGTAGCATTTTCAGCTACATCCAGATGAACAGAATGAACCTTGTGATGTTAATCCAGACCTCGCGTCTCCTTTGTTGCTGTCTATGACAAATGAATGAAAGTGGCCAGTATTATATATTAGCCTTGCCACATTTAAAGCAAACAACAAGTGCGGCAGGATTTTTTATTTTATTTTTGTCCCGTCAGAACTGGACCTGAACAGACTGGATGGAGATTCTGTCTGCCCGCCAATAAGAAGTGGCCAAGATGACCTTCCAGGTAAAATACTTAGTGGGACACTCTTTGAAAATATACAACAGGAGCTTTAAAACAACAAATCCAAGTCTAGAAAATCCCTAAAAGAGAAAAGGAAGGCGGTGAGTTTAATTGGAGGAACAGGGTGGGCTGCCTAATGCCTCAAGATTTCAAATGAGGCAAATAAAATGTTCCACTTGAGTTTAACAAAACTGTAGAACAATACAAACTCAGCAGCTTGTAACCGCTTGGCACTGCTGCTTGGTTCACTCCTACACATCTGCTCACACGCTGCTCTGTGGTTTTAAGTTATTTACAATAAAGTAAAAAAGCGTCTTTGTTTACATCCTGTTCATAAGGAAGAGTTTACACTTTAAATGTATGGAAAGACGATTTGGCAAGGATTGGAAATCAGCCTGCCCCATACAGTGAATGCACCTCATTAATATTTTATCCATGCAAGCTCCTGTAACTCCTGCCAAGTTAAACTGTGTCGATGTAAATACAACAAACATATGTAGTAAATGTACAGAAGCTGAAGCGACAACTGATTCGTTGCCTTGTCATAAGATCATTTCAAAACAGGCTGCACTGCACGTGAAAGCTGTTTCTACAAACGAGCTATACAACAAAAGTGCTGATCACTGCTTTATGCATGAATGTAGCAGGAATGGTGTGACACAAAACTGCTAACGATTCTAATATTAGTGTAGATGTGGAATCACAGACAGTAAAATCAAAACGATTGTTATTGAAATGTTTAAACTTACATTAGTGCTCATGTTATGTGCAGTGCTAATCATAATGCTAATGATATTGTTGTTCTCTTCACACTAATGGGAACATTACGCAAAATGTAAAGAGAAACAGTATGCAAAGATCTGCAAATCTCGCAAACCAGCGGTTCCCAACCTTTTTTGCGCCACGGACTAGTTTATGTCCGACAATATTTTCACGGACAATATTTATGTATTGCTATTACGTGCTGTGTCATTTTACTCACAGCATGACTACATAATTGCTTCTTCGTCTTCTTCTGCTTTACTGGCAGATGGCAACCCATTTAATTAGAGCAGGTAGTTGTACTGCCCTCTAGTGGAAGAGAGTGTAATTGCTCTGCCTGTTTCTCACACGGGTAACAGGC